GAGGTGATTGTGTTGATGGCATCAGAGATGGTGAAGAGGATGGTGTTGGTGCTCATGCTGGCGGTGAACATGATAGCAAGTGATGATGGTAACGATTAAGGTGGTGATGATGAAGGAGAACATGATGATGATGAAGGAAGAGGAGAGGGAGAGGCAAACCCTGTCATGGTTTCTGGGCATCAGACCCAGTCTTTGGTAGGAGCAGAAACAGATGTAGGTGCTCCCTCCTCACCCTAACCCCTGCCTCCCTCAGATGGTCTCTTGAAGGGGATGATCCTTGAGAACCTTGAAAATGGCCATGGACGGAGCTGGGGGGCTGACGATACTGACTGCCTAGGATGGGGGTGGGAATCCAGGAAAAGTTTTCCAGGGGAGGTAACCTTTGAACTGTGCCCTCATGGACACAGTTGTGGGGTTTCCAGCTCCAGTGAGAATAGGGTCCAGGCCAGAGAATGGCACTTGAAAAGGGGAGAGGATGGGCCTGGCAGGTGGGGAAATGCTCCTGCCTGCTGGGGAGGGAGCATCGAGCATCTCTGTCCATCCCAGGTGCACAACACCGCCTTCAACCGGGGCAAACTGCGTGATGTGGGGTTCTGGGAGGCCATGCAGGAGGAGGAATGGGACTGTGTCTTTTTCCACGATGTGAACCTCCTCCCAGAGGATGACCGCAACCTCTACATCTGCGACATCTTTCCTGCTCATGTGTCTGTGGCCATTGACAAGTTCAACTACAAGTAGGTGGAACGAGGGGGCCTCCTGGGGGGGATGGTTGGCCAGGCCCTGTGCTTTCCTGGACCTCGCCCTTCCCATCGTTAGGGTCCAGGCCCTGATCCCTGGGACCGAGGCAGAGAGGGATGTTGGGGCCCAGGGAAAAGCCTTGTAGACAGGGAAGAACCTTTTGGATGCAGGTGTTGGGGGGGGGTGGTCAGTGATAGAAAGGGTCATGATGGAGGTCAGAGAAGGGCATGTATGAAAGGATGGGCTGACTAGGGGGTAGGAGAGGGTTATCCCAGGAGTCTGGGGAGAAAGGGCCATTAAGGGGTCACAAGGTGGGCCTGTCAGATGATTTAGGGGAGGGGATATCCCAGGTCAAGTGAGGGCCCATCTCAGAGGGCAGAGGAAGGGTTACTCCAAGATCAGGGAAGGGGACACCTGAGGGGTCAGGGGAGAGGTTAGTTATCACAGGGGTGACTGGGGTAGGGCAAACCCAGAAATAATGCTTGGGGATCCTGGCCAGAGCCCCCGTTGCCTGAAATTCCTTGTTTCCAACTCTGCCTCTCCAGGCTACCCTACCATGGCTACCTTGGGGGGGTGTTTGCCCTGCGCCCCATTCACTACCTGAGGATAAACGGCTTCCCCAGCTCGTACTGGGCCTGGGATCGTAAGGACCATGACATCGCTGCCAGGTAGGGGGCCCTGCTTGAGGAGCCTAGCACGGGGCTGCAGGCCCCTCCATGGTGTGGGGGACATAGGCCGCCGTGGCCTTTAGGGCTGGGTGTGGCATAGGGACCCTGTCAGAGGCAGGCATCTGGCCTCCCTGCCCTCTCCCCGTGTAAGGCTGCAACTGAGCGGGATGCTCCTCTCCCGACCCCATCTGCTCTTTGGCCACTACCACATGCTGGAGGGGCAGGACCCCAGCCACCAGCAGAGCCCCCACAGGCAAGTTGGGGTTGGAGGCAGGATGTCCCATCTTGGGCGGTGCCTTAGTCCTGGGCTCACATGGCTGCCCCTCCCCCCAGCCCTGGCCTTCTGGCCTCAGTCCGCTGCAGATGGCAGCAGGATGGCATAAACTCACTGGGCTACAGGCTGCTGTCCAAGGAGCTGCAGCCCCTCTACACCAACCTCACCGTGGACATCAACTTCCCAGCTTCCCAGCCCTAGGAGCCCCCGTGCCAAGCTGAGGGGGAGCTGGAGGCTGGAACAGAATCTCTAAGACCTGGGCTGCAGGGCAGCCCTCCCAACTGGTTGCCTATTAAAGGAGTTTATTTTACTCACTTCTCCTCTCTGCCAACCTTCATCCCCACCCTTTCATTTCCAGGCATTGATTCAGAGCCCCACTCAAATTCCCTGGTTCTCTCCATGTGGTTCCAAGTGCTGACCACTCACCTACCAATTTACTTCTCATGAAAACTTGTGGGGTAGGCACTGTTAGCATCATCCTTTAAAAACCCAGGACAGAAGAGGGCGCCTGGGTGGCTCAGATGGTGAAGCGTCTGCCTTCGGCTCAGGTCATGATCCCAGGGTCCTGGGATCGAGTCCTGCATGCTTCTCCCTCTGCTTCTCTCTCTCTCTCTCCCTCTATCTCTCATGAGTAAATAAATAAAATCTTAAAAAAAATAAAAATAAAAACCCAGGACAGAGGAGTTAAAAGCTTGTGTGTCCGATGTAGGATCAAATTTGGGTACCTGGCTCCTGGGCCAGTGCCCTGCAGGGGTATGCAGTCCTGCTGCTGTCTTGTAGCAAAGAAAGCGGCGAGAAGAACAAATAGTAAAACCTGTGAGGATGGTTGAATTAATTAGCATGTTCACCCCACAGAATACCACACACCACTGAGCAGATGCACCACAGCATGGAAAGAACAAGGTGCACACACGTGTGTGGTATGATCTGATGTTTATAAAAGAGAGGACAGAGTTCCCACACAGGTAGAGGATTATGAGCGTAGTGATGAGTGTGTGTGGCTATCGGGTAATCTTCTGTAAAGGGCCAGATGGTACATATTTGCAGCTTGCAGGCCACTGGAGCCCAGGGGCAGTCATAGACCACACATCAGCACAGGAGCCTGGCTGTGTCCAATAAAACTTTTATTTAAAAGAGCAGGTGGCCGACACTATTTGGCTGATGGCCAGTTTGCTGACTCCTGGTGTAAATGATTACGAACCTGTATAAAAATACAAAAAAGTCCATAATGAAGGCTTAACACTGGTCATTTATGGAGCTGTTCACCAGAGATGGTGGAGGTGGAAAGAAATGGGGGGTGGGGTGGGGTGGATAGAGCTGAGCGGGTCATGAAAGAGGAAAGGTGCCCTGTGAGGACCAGTATACGTTACAAAATCACATTTATACATTTACCAAAAAAGTACATTCACGTGTCAAGACAGGCATACCTCGGAGACACTGCAGGTTCAGTTTCAGGCCACGCGATAAAGCGAATATCGCAATAAAACCAAGTGAATTTTTTGGTTTCCCAGTGCATGTGGGGTTATGTCGGCACTACACTGTAGTCTACGACATGTGCAACCACGTTACGCCTGAGAAAAGTGTATACTTATTAAAAAACACTTCATTGCTAAAAAAAGCCAACCATCTTCTGAATTTGTAATCACTGATCACAGATCACCACAACCAACAGAGTAAGAATGAAAAACTTGGAAATATTCCAAGAATGACCAACATGTGACAGAGACATGATGGGAGCAAATACTGTCGGAAAAATAGCACTGTGACTTGGCAGGGCTGCTACAAACCACTGAATTTATAAAAACACAGTATCTGCAAAGCACGATAAAATGAGGTAGCTATGCCTGTATATATGAAGAAATAATTATTGACTGTGCAATCTCAGGATATATTCAATTAAGAATAAATTTGATACATAATTACAGTAGATCCTTTAAAAAAGCATATAATCTTCCCACACCTCTGCTATGCAGTGAATCCTACAACAAACGCTACAGAACTGAGCGTTATGTAGGTGTATATACGTATCTATGTATGTATATGCTGACCTGACCATATAAACACATACACACACCTACTGTTTGGTCATTCAATTTGCTAGTACGTTGAAAATACGGATATTCCATATTCAACAGGGTTATCACTAATTTCTCACAAATTTTTCTATAAACGATCTGGTAAAAGTCTGTCTTGTACTATCTAGAGCAAAACACTTCTCAATGTGTTAGTCAGGGTTTCTTCCCAGATGAATTTTATAATCCTTAAACGAAGCTAGTACAAATATGGACATTTACCCTCATTCTTAAAAGTTGTTTTCTGAGGGGCGGTCATTTCTTTCATATCAAATAATGTGTAACTCTGCAACATGCAGTGCATTCCTGGAGTTTTTCAGAATCAGGGATTCTATAACCTACGACTGAATCTGGCGCTTGGGAGGTATTTTTTCTTCTTCGAGAAATTTAGAGTTTGGTTCATTTATGTGTATGCCGACGCATACGAGGAACTGATTTCTGGGTAAAGCCTTTCACACAATAACTGCTTTAATAAGACCTGTCTCTAGTATGAGTAGTTTGGTGTTTATTAAAATTGGATCTGTTGTTGAAGGCCTTCCCACACTGAGAACATACGTAGGGCATCTCTCCCGTGTGAATCCGCTGATGCACTTGGAGCTGTGGTTTCCTGCTGAAGGATTTCCCACAGTCACAGCATTCATAAGGCTTCTCTCCAACATGCGTTCTCTGATGTGCCATCAATTCTGATCTCTGGAGAAAGGCGTTCCCACATTTGTAACAGGCAAAGGTTTTCTCTCTGGTGTGCGTCATCTGATGTTTGTGGAAATTTGACCTGCCATTGAAGGCCTTCCCACATTCGGTGCACACATAGGGTTTCTCTCCGGTGTGAATCCGCTGATGCTCTTTGAACTGTGACTTGGAAGTGAAGGCTTTCCCACAGTCGCTGCATTTGTAAGGCTTCTCCCCGGTGTGAGTTCTCTGATGCATGCTGAGTATGGACTTCTGGTTGAAGGCTTTCCCACAGTCACTGCATACGTGTTGTCTTTCTCCGGTGTGAATTTTCTGGTGGATGTTGAGGTGTGACTTCTGGGTAAAGGCTTTTCCACAGTCACTACATTCGTAAGGCTTCTCCCCAGTATGAATTCGGTGATGTATATCAAGCTGTGACTTGGAAATGAAGGCTTTCCCACAGCTGTGGCATGGGTAAGGTTTCTCTCCGGTGTGGCCTCTCTGATGAACAGTCAGATGCGCCTTCTGGACAAAGGCCTGCCCGCACTCAATGCACACGTAGGACTTCTCCCCCGAATGGATTCTCTGGTGCAAGCTGAGCGTTGACTTCTGGGTGAAGGCCTTCCCGCATTCGCCGCATGCGTACTGGCGCTCACCCGTATGAATCTTCTGATGGATGGCGAGGGTTGAATTCTGGGAGAAGCCTTTCCCACATTCGCTGCATTCGTAGAGTTTCCCACTAGTGTGAGTCCTCTGATGTCTGAAGAGAGATAACATCTGGAAAAAGGCTTTCCCACATTCGTGGCATTTATGGGACTTCTTTCTCGTGTGCGTTTTCTGGTGTGTGATCAGTTCTGATCTCTGAATGAAGACCTTCCCACACTCCTTACAGATGTAAGGAATGTTACCTGTGTGATCTGTCAGATATACACCGAGCTTTGGTTGCGGGGTGAAGCCCTTTGCGCATCTGCTGCATTCCTGGAGGTTTTCTACGCTATGGAATCTCTGCTGCTCGAGGGGTGGCTTCTGGGGGAAGCCCCTCCCACACTCAGCACATTTATCGGGTTTCTCCTGATTATGAATGTGATGCTGTGTGCAGGACTGTTTATAGCTGAGGACTTTCGTACATTGATCCCCATCACAGAAGTTCTCTCCTGGATGAATATGCTTGCAGCCAGCACGGGAAGAGCTACGGGTGAACAGCTGGCCAGAGCCAACAAGCTCATCAAGGCGTTCTGTGCGGTCGCTTTGATTTTGATGATTTACTTCTAGGTTAGGCTTCAAACTTTTTGCAAATGAGCAATGTTTATGAGGTCTTTTTTGTGAAGAAACAAGGTGGGGCCTCACATGAATGATTTTTCCAGGGTCCTTCCGTTCACAGTCTCTCTCTGTATCCAGTGTTTTCCTGTTGAGGAAAGCCCCACGCTGTGCAGGTTCATTTTGCTTCCACTGACTCCTCACTGTACGACTGGCATGTTCCCACAGGTCTTCTGAAATGGAACACCACGAACCATCTCTTGTGACTTCACTTTCCTTATCATTGTGAAATGAAGCTTTTTCAAATATTTTCTGTTGGGAGGTTTTAAGTCCAAACACCACTTCTAGAGGAGAAAAAGAAGATGAAAGAGACTCGAGTTAGCAGAGGATGGAGGACAAATCATAGGAGCGGACTGAGGGTGAATACAAATTGCTGAGTCATGATAATAATGATGATGGTGATGGTGACGACGAGAGGAGACAGCCACCCTGCCTTCATTATGTGTCGCCTGTCTGCATGCAGCACGGAGCATGTGCCAAATAGCGTTCTACATTGTGCGCATGGAAACTCTTTTAAATCCTCACAACCCTGCACAAGGTAACTGCGCTTACTCTCCCTGTTTCACAGATGAACAGGAGGAGGCACAGAATCTCTAAGTAACTGGGGCGCCTGGGTGGCTCAGTCGTTAAGCGTCTGCCTTCGGCTCAGGTCATGATCCCAGGGTCCTGGGATCGAGCCCCACGTCGGGCTCCCTGCTCAGCAGGAAGCCTGCTTCTCCCTCTCCCACTCCCCCGCTTGTGTTCCCTTTCTCGATGTCTCTCTGTCATATAAATAAAAATCTTAAAAAGAAAAAAAAAGAATCTCTAAGTAATTGACCAAAATCACCCTCCGGAGCTCTGGGGAAAATCAGATTAGAATTTCTAATTCTAAACTGGCTCCACTTACACAGGCATGCGGTCTAGATACCCATACACACACCTACGATGACAGAAAATACAAGGGTGTGACAGGGCAACATCTGGGAACAGCCAAGGCTTGAAAAGGAGGGGCTCAGAGGATGGCTCTTCATTAACTTTCAGATCTAAATTATCACCAACTTCCCAGTTTACTCTCACTTGTTAGAAACAATACCAAATCCATCTGCCCTATAAATCCTCTGGAGAAGTAAGAAAGCTCCAACTCTGACATGGCCAAGCAGTGAAAGAATACCTGTGCCCAAATTCAACTCTCCAGGAAGCTGAAATGTGTTTGCTTGAACCTATAAACTTATAACCCAAGAAAAGTACATTGGAAGAGTGGACAAGGGGCGCCTGGATGGCTCAGTCAGTTGAGCGTCTGCCTTAAGCTCAGGTAATGAATACCAGGGTCCTGGGATCGAGCCCCACATCCAGCTCTCTGCTCAGTGGGGAGCCTGCTTCTCTCTCTCTCTCTCCCTCTGCCTGGCGGTCTGCCTTGTGCACTGTCAAATAAACAAAATCTTTAAAAAAAAAAAAAAAAAAAAAAAAAAAAAAGAGCGGACAAGCAAGCTGTCCCCTGAAATCTGCGTCACCCTCTTCCATAGAAGTTAATTGTGACCAGGTATGTGGCTGCCAAGCTACGTAACAGTTCCCAGTGCCCTTGCAATGAGGTGGGACAGTGAGGCTGTTTCTGCTGATGGGAGTATGCATACGACGTTATGCACCACTTCTGGCCTGGGTGGTGAGACCACAAGCTTCTCAATACCCTCCACCCCTTTTCTGCCTAGTAGATCCTGCCTTTGGATGCCAGGCACAATCACACAGATCGACAGCATCATAAAGCAGAGTACAACAACAGCAAGGGAAGAACTTAATACACCTGAAGAATACAAGAAATGAAGCTTCCTGGTGACCTGCTTGTTTTAACTGTTTTACAGGAAAGAAATTATTCTAGACATTATCACACTGACCCTTGGTCTCTCCGTTAACTTTCAACCTTACACTACCTAATATACCATTTTTCCCACCAAGAATGGGAGTCACTGATCATCAAATTTACTAGTACAGAACAGATACTAAAGAGAAAAAGAGGGGCGCCTGGCTGGCTTAGTCGGTAGAGTACACGACTCTTGATCTCAAGGTTGTGAGTTTGAGCCCCATGTTTGGTGTAGAGATTACTTAAAAATAAAATCTTTAAAAAAATGTGTGGTAAAAAACATGTAATATAAAATTTATGATCTCAACCATCTTAGGCTCATGCCCAGATATTTAGTTTTCTTAGATAGTATATATTTTCTACCTTTACGTACATCATACATATGTCTCTGTTGCAGACATGGAAGAAAATAGGAACCCAACGGAATAGAGCATGAGCGACGAAACTCTTCAGCTACACTTAGAAATATGTGGCCACGATGCTGTCACTGAAAAGACTTTGTTAATCCTACATAGTAATAACTCTATTTTTCTATCAAAATCTCAGGAAAAAAACAAAGTATCAGTAAAATCTGTCAATGACATTTTGACTGACCTCATCAATGACTGGAATCCACAAAACCCATTAGGAACAAAAACACAAGCAGGAGGAAACGGGAGCTAACTTATGGGAGATCAGTGGAATTAAGAAAAAGGGTCAACTAAATTGCACATTCAAAAAAATGGTTGGATTCCTTTTCTTTCTTTCTTTCTTTTTTTTAAAAAGAGTTTTATTTATTTTTGACAGAGTGTACAAGCAGGGGAAGCAACAGGAAGAGGGAGACAGAGAAGAATGTGGGGCTCGATCCCAGGACCCCAGGATCATGACCTGAACCGAAGGCAGATGCTTAACCACCTGGGCCACCCAGGCGCCCCAAAAATGGTTGGATTCCTAAATAAGAAGACTGAGGTGGAAGAGCCAAGACACGCAGGAGACTCTGGCAAAATGTGTAAGGCGAGAAGCATGTTTGATTTGAGGATTCCAATTTCTGATCTCCCAAAAATAGAGGAAGTGAGTCATCCCATGGGAAGTGTACACCCTGTGGTCGAATAAGGTAAGAGAATGGTTTAGGCACAGGGACTGGAGGGGGTTGATCCAGGGATCACCAGAAAAAACTGAGGCCTGGGTGTTCCGAATGGAAGGGCCCTTGAAGGTAATTCTTATACGAAGGGATGATCAGAGGGAAGCATGGGGGCCCTGAACTGCAGGTGCCACAATCTGGGGAAAGGAAGAAAGAAGATCCAGCACAGAAAAGAAAAACCAATGAATTCAGGGGACAAATCAAAAGGAAAAAAGACCTTGAGAAAAAACTCCATGGACACAAGATGACAAAAGCCATGTACAGATGGAAAACCCAATCAGATGACAGATATGAGGAGATGCTCTAACATCTAAAAATGAAATTAAAACAAGAAACAGCCCTATCGCCTATCACATGGGCCATGAGCAATCTGATAAACGCCATGCTGGCAAGCAAGACGCATAAATGGGAATCCTTGTGCATTCTCCCATGAAAGCATAGGTTATGCAGCTCATCTGAAGAGCAGAATGGTTTCCTTAATCACATTAACTACACTTCTACCCAGGGGTCGGGGAATCCCATTCCTGAGTGTTCACCTCTGAGAAATTCTTACACCTTCCCCTAAGGGGCATTTACAAGATAATGTATTGCAGCGTTAGTCAGAAACTGGGAGCGGGAGGCAACATACAGCCCACCATCGTGGGGACAGTGTGGCAAGTTGAATAACGCCCCCCCCACCCCCGCCAAAGATATGCACGTCGGCCAGGTAGTAGTCACTCACCTCGATGCCTCTGATGTGGGAGCTGAGCCCCTCTTATCCATGACTTCTTTCCTTTTTCCATCCTGGAAATGATCTCTGGGTTGGGAATATGATACCCTGTTAATGAGAAAGGATCTCTGATTTGGATGTGGTCTGGGGCTTTACAGGTCATTCAGCGAACCTTTGTATTGGCTCATCAGAAAAGTCAACATCTTTCACTAGGAACAAAGTGATAGTCAAAGGTGTCCTAAAGGAATGAACAATCCAGGACAAATCAAAGGCAAACAGATTACATACTTCAGATGCCCTACTGCGTTCCACAACAAGGAAGGAAATCTCAACGAGGTCCATCCAAGATTCCCGGGTCAGGTGTGCTCACCCACGGAGAGGAGGTGGCTGTAGATCTCCAGCATCACGTCCCAGTACAGGCATCTCTGGGCAGGGTCCAGTTGCTGCCACTCCTCCCTGCTGAAGTCCATGGTCACGTCCTCAAATGACACCAATCCCTGTAACAACACACCCTGATGTCAATTACTCATTACCGGTGAATAGAAATGCTACTGGTAGACTTGTTTTTAATCATTTTTCACCACAATCTATATGGCTTTCCACTAACCCACCCATTTCATATTGTATTTTGGGGGGGACGTTAAAAAAAGTTTCTAGCAATATCCTGCCATCTACTGGGCCGGTCTTCGTTCTAGTTTTCTGGCATAGAGCTCCTAAAACCCTTGAAATTTCCTAAGTGAGGAGAGTGATACAGGGTAGTCTTTTCTTATGCCAGTGAGGTAAGTTTTGGAAATGGGGGGCTGGTTGCCAGGGGAACCAACCAAGTGATGAGAGGACTGAACTTCAGACAGCAACAGGTAATGGACATGATGGGTTCCCTCATGTCAAGGGAGGGAGGCTGTAATTTTACCCAGGCTGCATGACTGAGAAACAAAACCAGTCAGCACAGCCTGACGTGACAAGCCTTCACAAAATTCATAGAGGAACCCCTGCGACATGTTATCATGCTCATCGGCTACCACGTCCTGAAGCCACTGCCAAACCACGAGCTGCATCCTGCTTGTCATGCTGCTCCTGAGGCTGAAGTTTGGGACCTGAGCCTGACCACCCCAGATAAGGGTACAGAACTTGCGGGTTTTGTCTATTTAACCCTAAACCTTCCCCCTTTTGTAGCCGAAGGCTGTTATCTCCCCAGTTTGCAAACTGTATGGCAATGAAGCTTTCCTTCGCCTGGGATCAAATCTTCGAATTCCAGGAATTTCTGCTGACAAATTGTAGGACACCCAGCTGGTGTCACAGGGAAGTGCTTAGTGTGGGGGAAAAAAATCCCCACACGTTTGGTGACCAGAAGAGTCAGAAGCGCAGTGTTCTGTGTGTGTAAAGGAGACACGCAGGAGAAGCGATTTTCCTTTACTGATCTGACCAAAAGCTGAGCCCCCTCCTGGAAGGGTGGGCGTGAGGATATGAAAGAGCGCTCAATCGAAACTCCAAACTGAGGTAGCTCTTTCCAGTTCTAGACCAAATTCCAACATACGTGTGGAAGGAGGGATGCCCCCGTCCCCTTGCCAAGCAGGTCTCCTACAGTGGGGTGGCCTACAATTCAACTCAATTCTAACACCATCTACCTGGAGGTGGCGTCAGATCCCACAGGGGAGGGCTCAGTCCTACATGACTGCCCCACCCCTGGAGGAGCCCGTCACAAGCCCAGGCTGTCACCTGTACCTCTGACTGGCTGGCTTACACTAGGGGTTTCCACGACCCCCTTCTTGGACTCAATTAGTATGCCAGAGCAGCTCAAAGATTTAAGGAAACCCGTTTACTCACTAGGATCACCGGTTTATGATAAAAGATAGTAAAAGATACGAATCAAGAACCAGATGAAGAGGTGCACAGGGCAAGGTATGTGGGAGCTTCCATGCCCCCTCCAGGTGAACCACTCTCAGGGTACCTCCACGTGCTCACCAACCGGGAAGCTCCCCAAACTCACTGGATGTTTACGGAGGCTTTATTACATAGTCATGATTGAGTAAATCACTGGCCTTTGGTAACTGATTCCACTTCCAGCCCCTCTCCCCTCTCTGGGGGTGCAGAGGTGGGACTGAAAGTCCCCACCCTCTAATCACAGGGTTGGTTCCCTTGGCAACCACCACCCTTGGGGGATTTCCAAACTTCACCTTATTTACACAAACCCAGTTGTGGTGGAAAGGGGTTTGTTATAAACAACAAGACACACACTTCACCTTTATGGCTCTGAAGCTTTTTTTTCCCTGCCAAGAACTGAAGACAAGACTAAATATTGTGACAAAAGATGCTCCCACTGCTTATAGCTCAGGAAATTCCAAGGATTTGGGGAGCTGTGCTGGACGATGACCAAATATACAGGTTTCTCATAAATCCCAGTATCACGTAGCTGTGTAAGGGTGTCATTAAAAGACTGGGAGGTAGGGCGCCTGGGTGGCTCAGTCGTTAAGCGTCTGCCTTCGGCTCAGGTCATGATCCCGGGGTCCTGGGATCGAGTCCCACATCAGGCTCCCTGCTCAGCAGGAGACCTGCTTCTCCCTCTCCCACTCCCCCTGCTTGTGTTCCTGCTCTCGCTGTGTCTCTGTCAAATAAATAAAATCTTAAAAAAAAAAAAAAAGACTGGGAGGTAAATACCCACATATTTAGTTAATAGGGTAAAAATTCATTGCCTGAGGAGAAAGACAATCTTGACAGCTGTTATTTTATTTATTTATTTAAGCTGGAACACGTGATCTTATGGAGACCAGGGAACTAGATTACACCTTCTTGCTATAACAAGCTCATACTGTGAGGGGTGCCTGGGTGGCTCAGTTGGTTAAGCGACTGCCTTCGGCTCAGGTCATGATCCTGGAGTCCCGGGATCGAGTCCCGCATCGGGCTCCCTGCTCAGCGGGGAGCCTGCTTCTCCCCCAACCCTCCCCCCTCTCATGTACTCTCTCTCTCTCTCATTCTCACTCTCTCAAATAAATAAATAAATCTTTAAAAAAAAAACAAAACAAGCTCATACTGTGTCACACCATTTAGATCATCTGCCACAGGGCGCTGCTTGCAAAGACAGCCGTTTTTATTTACAAGCTGACTGAAAATCTGAATTAGCAAAAGGAGTTATCTACTGAAATGGCAAAATGAAAACGAGGGCAAGCAGACAAAATTATTTTCATCATATAAAAGGGAATGAGCTAATATGAAGTAACCTGTATCATAACACCCACTTGAACATGCTTTCAATCACACTCTTAACAATTCACCTACATCAATGCAAAATGAAAGGCATTTTCCTACAATTTAATTTTTTTTAAAAAGATTTATTTTGACAGAGAGAGGCATAGCGAGAGAGAGGGAACACAAGCAGGGGGAGTGGGAGAGGGAGAAGCAGGCTTCCCGCGGAGCAGGGAGCCCGATGTGGGACTCGATCCCAGGACCCTGGGGTCATGACCTGAGCCGAAGGCAGACGCTCAACGACTGAGCCACCCAGGTGCCCCTCCTACAATGTAATTTTTTTGTCACCCTTTATGTGCTTAATTGTGTTTCCCCTCCAAGCTCCTCCCACCCCCCCAAATTCTTATGTCAAAGTCCTATCCCCCAGTACCTCAAAATGTGCCTGTATTTGGAGACACGCTCTTTAAAGAGGTAACTAAGTTAAAATGAGGTCAGTAAAGTGGGCCCTAGTCCAATATGACCAGGGGTCCTTATAAGAAAAGGAGATTAAGAGACAGACCCCCACAGAAGGAAGACTGTGTGAGGACACAGTCAGAAGACGTCCATCTACAAGCCAAGGAGATACCACAGAAGGAACAACCCTGTTGACACCTTGATCTTGGATTTCTAGCCTCTGGAATTACAAGAAAATAAATTTCTGTTTAAACCACCCAATCTGTGGTCCTTTGTTACAACAGCCCTAGTGAGCTAACACAGTCACACAATAAAGATCTCGACAATTTTGTTTCAAATTTGGGTGTTTTACATTTTCATTTTAAGAATGACTTTTAAATATTTGGGGCAGTATCTTTTAATTTTTAAATGATTTTTACTTGGCATTTACTGTAATAGTTTTAATGGTGCTTTCAATGTTTTCTATTATCAAATGTTTCTGTCGGCAGAGATGACTTAATACATTACTGAAACATATAATCTCATAATGTATTGGTTCACAATGGTAATAAACCATGCATTTATTATGTTTTTTAAAAACAGAACATCTCTCTGTAACTTTGATTATAAACCTATCACAGGTCAACAATGCACTCGTTGTTTTAAAACACAGTGTCTTTAAATACACAGACTAAGGGGCACCTCGGTGGCTCAGTCACTTAAGCATCTGACTTCAGCTCAGGTCACGATCTCGGGGTCCTGGGATGGAGCCCTGAGTCAGGCTCTGCCCCCAGTGGAGAGTCTGCTTCTCCCTCTCCCTCTCCCTCTGCCCCTTCCCCTGCTCGTGCTCACACTCTCTCTTCCTCTCTCTCTCTCTCTCTCTCGCTTGCTCTCAAATAAATAAATAAATAAAATCTTTAATAAATAAATAAATACACAGACTAACTTGGAATTTCAGGAAATCTTGAGTATACCCAAGAATCTTCCTTTCTCTTTCCCAATATCAAATATTATATCCGTGGGCAATTTGGAAACACTATTCCCTGGCATTTGTATTCATCTTTTGAAACAGGAAAAACCACACATGTCCTTAAAACACAGTTTTTGCTCTAGTAGCCTATGATTCTATAAACCATGAGGACAGAGGGGAAACGAGCCAACCCCCACCAAGCAGGTAAGAAGTCAGATAGGGACCAGCTGAGAATATGCACAGACCCAATGGTGGATGAAGGATCTTCTGAGCTGAGCAGGAAGGAATTAGCATTTCCCTGCCAGTGGCTGGGGCTTCCCACCCAGATCAGGGGCTACCTTCTCTCCTTCCTTTGCCCCAGGACCAGCCCTCTACAACATACCCTCCTCCATCAGCCTGCACAGTTTCCTCCATTATACAGAAGGCCTGTAAATGAGGGGACATCAGCCCCCGTGGGCCGCTCTCAGCAGGAGGATGCACACGGTCTCAGCAACGGGGGTCCAGAATCTGCTGCTTCTCATGTCTGCCCTCAAATTCTGGAGAACCGTCCCTGGGGCTCCTCCTGCTTACCTCACATGGTCCACCCTGCTCCTGTGGACGCAGGACCTGGCACCTTTGGGGCAAATTCTCGTCAGCAGGCATGTCTCCCCTGGGCTTCACTTCTCTGTTTCTCTTGCTGACGACTCCGCTTTTCCCAGGACCTCGAAGCTGGGTGGGCATCTGGAGGCTTTGATCAGAGCTGCTGGGGAACGTCTGGCTAGGCTGTGGAGAGAGACCCGCAGCCTCAATGATGTGGTCTGACCCATGGGCTCTGCAAAGCCACCAGGAAGTCCTGGAGAGGCAATGCTCACATGGTCACTCCTCTAACATGTGCTCCACACAAATATTTTTGAGGGTCCTTAGGGGAAGGCCATGGGCTAGACACTATGGAATAAAACTTCAGAGGGGCGCCTGGGTGGCTCAGTTGGTTAAGCGACTGCCTTCGGCTCAGGTCACGATCCTGGAGTTCCGGGATCGAGTCCCACATCGTGCTTCCTGCTCAGCAGAGAGTCTGCTTCTCCCTCTGACCCTCTTCCCTCTCGTGCTTTCTATCTCTCATTCTCTCTCTGTCCCAAATAAATAAATAAAATCTTAAAAAAAAAAAAAAAACTTCAGAAGAACTCAGGCAGTTACTAACCAGGGTAAAATAAAAGACGAAGAGTTCTGGGGTGCCTGGGTGGCTCAGAGTCAGTTAAGCGGTCAACTCTTGATTTCAGCTCAGGTCATGATCTCGGGGTCCTGGGACCGAGCCCCCGTCAGTCTCTGCATTCAGTGGGAAGTCCGCTTTGGGATTCTCTCTCTCCCTCTGGCCCTCCCTGCACTCGTTTTCTCTAAAATAAATCTTACACAAAACACAAAGAGTTTGGACTACATGAAGGTTTAATTGTAACTCTGCCACCTTTCAGCCTTGAGAATATGAAGATACTACTTTAACTGTCATTTCCAAAATGAGGATGCACATTTTTATCGCAGGCATCGGGACATGTGATGAATCTTATTGAGCGTTCAGCACCTGCCTGGCATGTGGTAAATACGCTGTTTAATTTTCACATAACCCTGTCCACTAAACATCACGATCGTCATGATGCCCATTCTGAGGCACGAGGACGAGGAGACTGAAGCCGTTACATGCTTTGCCTTACGGTCAGTCTGCAGAGGGAAGAAAAGATCATCAGGCCTTCCTCTGCCTCGTTGCACACTGCACACAGCTGCCTCTCTCTCATGTGGTCCCCTCCATGGTCAGCTTCCATAAACACCACTTCCATTTCCTGTTGCCTGCAGAGAGCGGAGGCTCTGAGGTGGTCATGCTGGTATGTCCGTGCAAGCTTCTGGACATTTCAGTGCCCATCCTAGACAGCCCAGACTTTCCTATTTTTTTCTTATTAAAATATTTTATTTACCATTTTTTAATTAATTTTATTTTATTATGTTATGTTAGTCACCATACATTACATCATTAGTTTTTGATGTAGTGTTCCAGGATTCATTGTCTGCCTAAATATTTTATTTTTAAGTAATCTCTACACCCAAGGTGGGGCTCGAACTTACAATCCGCAGATCGAGTCACACGCTCAACCGACTGAGCAGCCAGGTGCCCCATAACAAAGCCAAAACTTAAATTTCCTGTCCTCAACCCCCACCTTCACCTGGAAAACCTGCAGACATGCACCAGGACCCTAGATCACTTACCACGCCTTGACTGTACATAAGGAATTGCCCCCCAACTCCACACCCAAATGCAGTCACTGACAGCCCTGACCTCCAGATATCCCCCCGGAGTGGACCACAGGACTGCCAGAAGGTCACGAAATACCCCCCAGTAACTGACACAGCCCAGGCTACGCTCGCTGCCAAGAGGTCTCCCAGGGAGTGTGATTTCCACAGGACCCCGAATAATTCCCAACATGGGGTTCCAATTAGTGCACCCCAATAGGAAATCATCATCCATCTGTTCAACTGCCAATTACTGACCATGTCCACAGGGAGCTGAGGAGGGGCCTCAGAAACCCCTATAACTGACCACCCAGCCCTGCAGTCCATCGGCTCCCACATGCTACCCTTAGCACCCCACTGATTTCTGGAGGTCCCCAAACACTGCTCTCCGATGTTACAAGGGGACCCTCAAAGTCCTCCAATCCCTGAAGCTCCTGCTCCCAATCGCCGCCGCCAGAGTCACTCCCCGAACGTCCCCAACTCCACCTACTAAGGCCCGCTCCGGAAGCATGTTCGCCGTCCTCAAGTGAGCAAGTTCCAAGGACCAACAATACAAAATTTGATACTAAAACACACTTGGGGGACGCCTGGGTGTCTCGGTTGGTTGAGCGTCTGACTTCGACTCGGGTCAAGGTCTCAGGGTCCTGGGATCGAGCCCCGCGATGGTCTCCCTGTTCAGCGGAAGCCTGCTTCTCCCTCTTCCCCCTGCTCGTACTCTCTCTCTCAAATAAAATAAATTAAAGAAAATCTTACACACACACACACTTAAGAGTTTAAATTCCCAGAACACTTACACACATACAGGAAATACGCAAAGCCTGAAAATGACCGAGCCAATCACCCGATTCGGATTAGAAAACGCCACTCATCCCACAGCACCCCTTCACTGAGGACCCCGTCACTCACTCCGCAGACCCTCGTGCCCCTCACACTCACCCCAAGCCGAGTTCCCCTCACAGACCCCACAGGATCTCCACTGCTAATGTCCCAAAACACCTCAGCCTCCCACACCGGCGACGCAGAGGTCAGGAGTAGTTAACAACCTAAGCGAAATGGCCGCGCTGGGCCACTTCCGGTCTGGGTTAGACTCCCGGCCGGGAGTGAACGGTGCGCATGCTCGGTAGAAGTTGTGACGCCAAACTCTGCCAATAGTTATCATGGCGTCTTACGGAAGCCAGGTATTCTGTCCTCTTCCCTACCACGACTCCCCGTGTTCAGAGAGGCTCATGGGAGCTCAGCGGGTGTTGAGCCTGGCAGACAAGGCCCTCTCCATCACCAGACTCCCCCGGAGGCAGCTCCAACCGCAGGCTCTGACGACTGGGTAGGCTATGGGCTTGCCTCTCCAGGGTCCTGCTCAGCCGGGCAGGGGTTGCTGACAATCACGCAGACCAAACCCAGGGATTGGCCCTTCAGGACTGATAAGAGCCACTCCCCAGTGCTTCGCAGGTGAGAGAAGAGACAAAGTCAGACCCAGTGTTCAGAAGTAGTTTGTTTATAAGTTCTGCATACATTCACTGCAGTAGGTATGATGTGGGGAACAAAGGCAGAAGAAAAATTACTAAATTTCCTTACTACCTACAGCCCACCAAGTCCTTGAAACAGGCAGAGTGACAGTCCTCTAGGGACTCAACTGCCTGGATTGTTACTACTTTGCTAAGGGCAAAAGGCAACCTTAGCCCGACCCCCAGAATTCTGTAAGTCTCTTTTAACATACAAAAATTCCTTTAGAAATTTCCTTTATCTCTAAACCCCCCAAGATACGTGTTGGCAATCATCCCCTAAGCATATGGCCCACTGATATACATCTGAAGGGTCTCGTGACTAAAGTTTTATTAGACGTAATAAATGGCCTTTCCCCAACAATAGCTAGCCCCCTCAAGGTCCTGGAAACCTTGCTTCCAAAATACCTGGGAGCCTTACGCTATCCCTAACCCCCTCCCAACTTGAAAGTATATAGTGGACCACTCTTCATGACCCCAGGACACCTCTTTCTGCCCACGGGTCCTGTCACTGTGCTTTAATAAAATAAACCCACCTTTTTGCACCAAAGACTTTTCAAGAATTCTTTCTTGGCTGTTGGCTTCGAACCCTAACGTCTTTCCTCCAGCAGATGTAATGGTGAAGCACAAAGATTCTGGAGCTGGACTGCCTGGGTTTAAAGCCAGATGTTCAAGTTTGGGCAAGTTAGTTAACCTCTCTGTCCTTCAATTTCCTGTTTCATGAAGTTGAGTATTAAATAATTAAATTATCATAGGCAAAATATTTAAAACAGTGCTGTTACATAATGAGCTGTTACATGAGAAAAATATTCTATTTCATTCATTCAACAAATATTTATTAGGTTCCTATGGTATGCCCAAGAAAAATTGTTTAAGGTCATTGTGTAACTGAACTAACGTGAGCTCCCTCCTTAATGAGTCACAGAAACTGATGTGATCTGAAGTGGGGTTCGAGAGCGGAAGGTCAAGAAGGAATTCTTGAGAGGTTTTCGGTGCAAAAAAAAAAAAAATGTGGTTTTACTAAAGCTAGGGGACAGGACCCAAAGGCAGAAAGAGCTGCACTGGGATTGTTAAGGAGCAATTGTTTATAGGCTTTGGAGTTGGGGGAGGTAAAGACAAAGGAAGTTTCCAAAAGGATTTTCATATGCATGCTAAAGAAGACTTACGGGATCCTGGAGACCTGACTATTGTCAAGCCAAGGTTGTTTTTTTCCCTCTAGCAAGGCATTAACATTAAGACAGTTGGGAGTTCCTGGAGGGAAGTCGTATTCTGCCTACCTCAAGTATTTGTCAATGGGCTGCAAGTTATAAGGAATTTAATTGTATCTACAGTTCCTTTTGCCTTTGTTTTCCACGGTAGAAACTACACCATGTGGAGTTGTCACACAAAGAAACTTTCTTCGCAGCAAATAAAGCGATCACAGGGTATAACTTCCAAAGCTGTGATTCCCCAGTAGGTCCCTTTTATTTAGAGTTAGGATGAATATTTTAAAAGGGGAGTCTTATGGGGTGCCTGGGTGGGCTCAGTCAGTTAAGAGTCGGACTTTTGATTTTTGGCTCTGGTTGGCATCTGGCTTTAAACCCAGGCAGTCCAGCTCCAGAATCTCAGGGTTGTGAGATTGAGCCCCACGATGTCCTTCCCCTGCCCTCCCTCTCTCTCTCAAATAAGTAAATAAATCTTTGGGGGAAAAAAGTCTATTTTTCCATCTACAGCGTTGCAAATGGCAAGATTTCAATTTTTGATGACTGCATAATATTCCATTATATGTATATCACATCTTCTTTACCCATTCATCTGTCAATGACATCTGGGCTCTTTCCATAGTTTGGTTATTGTGGACATTGCTACTATAAACATTGGGGTGCAGGTGCCTGTTCCAATTACTACGTTTGTATCTTTTTTTTTTGCATGTTTTATAATTTTTATTTTATTATGTTATATTAGTCACCATACATTACAGCATTAGTTTTTTTTTTGTTTTTTAAAGATTTTATTTATTTATTTGATAGAGACACAGCGATAGCAGGAACACAAGCAGGGGGAGTGAGAGAGGGAGAAGCAGATCTCCCGCCGAGCAGGGAGCCCGATGTGGGACTCGACCCCAGGACCCTAGGATCATGACCCGAGCCGAAGGCAGACGCCCAACGACTGAGCCACCCAGGCGCCCACAGCATTAGTTTTTGATGTAGTGTTCCATGATTCATTGTTTGCGTATAACACCCAGTGCTCCATTCAGTACATGCCCTCCTTAATGCCCATCACCGGGCTAACCCATCCCCCCACCCCTCTCCCCTCTAAAAACCCTCAGTTTGTTTCTCAGAGTCCATAGTCTCTCATGGTTCATCTCCCCCTCCGATTTCCCCCCCTTCATTTTTCCCTTCCTACTATCTTGTTTTTTTGTTTGTTTGTTTGTTTTTTAACATATGATGTATTATTTGTTTCAGAGGTACAGAGGTGATTCATTAGTCTTACACATTTCACAGCACTCACCATAGCACACACCCTCCCCAATGTCTATCACCCATCCCTCCCACCCCCCACCACTCCAGCAGCCCTCAGTTTGTTTCCTGAGATTAAGAATTCCTCATATCGTGAGATCATATGATACTTGTCTTTCTCTGATTGACTTATTTCGCTTAGCATAATACCCTCTAGTTCCATCCACATAGTTGCAAATGGCAAGATTTTGGGGGTTTTTTGATGGCTGCATAGTATTCCCTTATTTATACATACCCCCACATCTTCTTTATCCATTCATCTGTTGATGGACATCTGGACTCTTTCCATAGTTTAGCTATTGTGGACATTGCTGCTATAAACATTGGGGTGCACGTACTCCTTCAGATCACTACGTTTGTATCTTTGGGGTAAATACCCAATAGTGCGATTGCTGAGTCATAGGGTAGCTCTATTTTCAACTTCTTGAGGAGCCTCCATATTGTTTTCCAGAGTGGCTACACCAGCTTGCATTACCACCAACAGTGTAGGAGGGTTCCCCTTTCTCTGCATCCTCACCAACATCTGTTGCTTCCTGAGTGGTTAATTGTAGCCCTGACTGGTGTGAGGTGGTAACTCATTGTGGTTTTGATTTGTATTTCCCTGATACTGAGTGATGTTGAGCACTTTTTCATGTGTCTGTTGGCCATTTGGATTATCTTCTTTGCAGAAGTGGCTATTCATGTTTTCTGCCCATTTCTTGATTGGATTCTTTGTTCTTTGGGTGTTGAGTTTGATTAAGTTCTTTATAAATTTTGGATACTAGCACTTTATCTGATAGGTTATTTGCAAATACCTTCTCCCATTCTCTCGGTTGTCTTTTGGTTCATTTGACTGTTTACTTTGCTGTGCAAAAAGCTTTTTTTTTTTTAAGATTTTATTTATTTATTTGACAGAGAGAGACACAGTGAGAGAAGGAACACAAGCAGAGGGAGTGGGAGAGGGAGAAGCAGGCTTCCCGCAGAGCAGGGAGCCCGATGTGGGGCTCGATCCCAGGACCCTGGGATCATGACCTGAGCCAAAAGCAGACACTTAACAACTGAGCAACCCAGGTGCCTTGCAAAAAGCTTTGTATCTTGATGAAGTCCCAATAGTTCATTTTTGCCCTTGCTTCACTTGCCTTTGGCGATGGGCTAGGAAGAAATTTCTGCAGCTGAGGCCAAAGAGGTTGCTTCCTGTGTTCTCCTCAAGGATTCTGATGGATTCCTGTCTCACATTTAGGTCTTTCATCCATATCAGGCACTCTTAATGTGTTGTTGGGATATTTAAATGAGTAGGGCACTTTTGGAAAATGTCATGTTGGCTTCAGATGGAATTGGAAGAATCATCTCCACTTCCCACATAACGTATCAATGAGAAATGCATTTTGTTCCAAGTTATAAGAAGGCGGACTTTCAGGAACCTGAATAAATAGGGCTTTATTTTTCTAACATAACACCAAGTCTAGAGATAGGCTGCTAGGGGCTTTGATTCAGCTGCTTGGCAGAGCTCAGTTTAGCCTGCAGGGCAAAGAAGGAGGAGGAGAGGGGCCTGCTCCTCCCCGGTTTTCTCACAGTGTTAAGGGAATCGAGACTATTCTCTGCAGCCCAGAGATGCTGCTGGGGCTTTGGTGGCTGCCACTGTGAGGGCAACAGAGGTCTGAGGAAGAGGTCTGGGTGGGGCTGTGGTCAGACACTCTGTTTGCTACCATGATCCCTGGAGGAGGGAGTAGGTATGATCTGTGTCCTACAGTCAATGTCAGTGAAGGAGGGTCTGTGCATCTAATCCCATTCTGGACTGACTTTGACCTATCAACACCCACTTTCAGATCTTGGAGATGGCTGAGAGACATCACAGTCCTTCTCTGGCCACAAACCCTATCAAAAACCAAAAAGAGAGAACATCCTCTGGGACCCAAGGGCCCCCAGTTGCTCTCTCAGCATCAGAATTTCCAAAATTCAGAAAAGTGGAAATACATTAGGATAGAGAAATATAGGGACACCTGGCTGGCCCAGACAGTGGAGCATGCAGCTCTTGATCTCGGGGTTGTGGGTTCAAGCCCCACACTGGGTGTAGAGATTATTTAAAAACAAAATCCTA